ACAGTTTGTCACAGCCCCTCGTTTGTTGTCCTCTTCTCCCTCTCTGCCTACGGTTTACCGGGCAGTTCTATTTGACGATATATATGTATATATACATATATCTCTCTCTGCCTACGGTTTACCGGGCAGTTCTATTTGACGATATATCTATATATCTATATATCTATATATCTATATAGATCGTCAGAAGGAGCTGCCCGGTAAACTGTAGGCAGAGAGGGAGAAGAGGACAAGAAACGAGGGGCTGTGACAAACTGTTTCGTCGGAGTTTCACGGACTCAGCAGGAGGCTGAACCCTATATTTTTTTTATTTGGACCATTTCTCGATTTATGCGTGTGATCCTTGCGCAGGGGCTATGCTAATTACCCTACTCTGTATCGTTCTAATGTTAACGGATGTCCCAAAGGACATAATTCTATAATTTCTATGTATATGAATTTAAGAAGTAACGGCGCCCCACCGATGGGCCTAGCTCAGTTTGTACACCAATGACCTGTTGAAATACAGACCTGTGTTCGAATCCAGCTGCAACCAAAATGACCAGGAGAATCATTCTAAATTACGGGGGGCTGGTCATTTCAATGATGATATCCAAAGACCGTCACCCTTTTAAATTAAAAAAAAGAAACTTTTTTTTTTGGAAAGCCGAGGGTGTTGTAGAGGCCAAGGACCAGACACACTGTGATTGCTGGAAAAAATAACGTTGCTACTGTTAGTGGGAATAAAAGAGTTTGGGAGTGTCCTTCGGGACATCCGTTAGAATTGGGACGATACAGAGAAAGAAGATTAGCATGCCCCTGCGCAAGGATGACACACATGGATTGAGAAATGGTCCAATTTTTTTAGAAAAGAAAACAAAAAGAATTTGGGTCTAGAGTCTAGACTCTAAGAGTTTCCCCGACTTGTCACTGATTCCTAAAGCTGCCAGCTGCTGAATCTCTTTCAGCATATCGCAAAGAAAAGTGACCTGAACTGCTTCTTGTAAATTTCAGAATTGCGCAGACTCGTCTGCAAATCTCTGGGGCCTATTGTCACAGCCTGTTGTGCCATGTACCTGGCTGGCTTTGTGGTCAAGTTCCTGAAAATATGTGGAATGTTGACGCGCTGGGAACTTGCGGAGGGCGGGACTTCCCCGCAAAGTTTCATAATTGTGCAGATTTGTCTGCAAGTTTCTAGGGCCTATGGTCACAGCCTGTCGTGCCATGTGGCAGGCTGAATCTACATGCCTGAAGTCTCCACCATACACTGGCCTTGGATACTGGGTGCAGCTTACACAGGCAGCAGTCAGTGCAAAGTGCTTTCTAATCTGCAGCTGTAACTCAGCGTCTGATGTTGAGGCAGCTGGGCCTTAGCTGTGTAGCAGGCAGGTGCTTGGGCTGCGGTAGGTAGCCTGCCGGTCGTGTGCCGTACTTGGAAAGCGCTTTCCTTCGTGCGGCGGGTCGGAGCAGGCCTCCAGGCTGCTAGCGTCTTTCGTTAGTAATCCTGTTCGGTCTTGGTGCAAAGAAGCAGAGGTCGCAGAAGTGCATTGGAGAGAGCTGCATTGCTTTTTCTTGTGCTGTTCTTCGAGTTTGGCCATTGTGGGAGCTCGCCTGCGGAAGGTTTGAACAAACTCAGACGCCGAAAAAGAGCGAAAAACACCCTGAATAGAGGTTGTAGAGGGTTTAGGAGGGGTGCTGCTAAGGTTAGGAGGCATCAAGAAGGCCTCGTGAGCCGAAATATACGCGGGGTTGCATTGCAATGACTTGCTGTTTTCTGGTTGCCTGTAGCCTCTCTCTGTCGAGGCTGTACTATAGGTAGGATAGATTCGTAATTTTGTTTGGCTGAGGGCTAACTGAGAGACCTACCTGTGAGGGAAATTCGAGAGGGACATATCTGCAAGTTCGGGAAAAAGGTAGGCCCGGTACTAACAGAATTCCCTACGGCTACTCTAACTGCGAATAGCAGGCCCGGGCTACCCCTAGGACAGACAGGCCCTAAGGGCCTATTCTGATAGACGGTCCTATAGGTAGAGGCCGAGGTGAGAGAAGTTGGTGCCCTGCTGGACCCTCCTCCGGAGTGGGGTTCCAGGGTGGTGGCGCTGCAGCCATAGCTGCAGCTTCGTCCTCAGAGGTCATCTTGTCAGGGTTTGGTGGCGCTGCTGCAGACTTCCACCCGGAAAGTCTTCCGACACTTTGTCATCGTCAGATACTGTGGCGCTGGTCTTCTTCTTCATCCTCTGAGTGGCGGTTGGCCTCAGAGGCCTGTTTCAGGGTGGCGCTTCCCTTTGGAGGCTGTATCTGGGTGGTGCTGGATGATTCAGGGGCTCAGGGGTGTTACGAGTGGCTAAACAGGGTTGGAGAGCGAAGCGCTGCTCATCTCTGAGCAGTGCACTGTAGTACTGAAGTTATCCTGTCAATTTGAGACTCTGAGTTTAATAAACGGTGTGTAACTGGATTTGCACTATCATCGTTTCATCGTTTTCCTGGATGTGATCTGCTCGGCTTTTCTTTATGACTGGTTGTGAGGATTGAGTGGAGTGAATTGCACTTTCAGTGTACCCTGTCATATCGCATGGTCAAGTCTTCCGCTGTGTTCATCTCCCCCTGTGCGGTGTGATACTCCTATCCTCTCCCCTTCCTTCTGCGTATGTATGGGCATACCTGGAAGTCTATGTGAGTGAGGGTTGGTCTTCAGACAACAAACAACCAGAATCATAACAGCATGATGGGGAAGGCGCTGGGAGGAGAAAGAAAGAGCTGCGGGGATGCGGTGGAATATATGCAGGCTACTTGCACCTTACTGTGAGGATCTTATCCAGCGGTTTCGTCTGGCGGACTCTGGACTGTGGTCTTTTGTCGGTATGTTAAACAGTTTGCATTTGCAGTTGTGGTCATGAAAGGTTGGGGAAGGTGCCAGGAAGGAGGTGACTGAGACTCTTGAGACTTTATATACGTTGACTCACCGTTTCTTGTGTGTGTGTTTTTTAACATCCCCAAACTCTCTACATCCCCAAACTCTCTCTCTCTCTCTCTCTCTCTCTTTCCATTCACGTACCATCACAGACCATCCATAAACAATAAAGTATAGATGAACAATATAATAGAAGGTGCAAGGTTCCCCACGTTTGTGTGGTTGAGCGGGAAGTGCCCACACACCCGTCTGGCGCCGAAGCGGCACAATTGTACAAATATATGTAGTTTTTTTCAATCTATAAAAACAAAGGTAAAGGGCAGTAGGCAACATACCTAACACAGAAGGCTCCAACAGCAAGAAAGCACTGACCAGATGTGTGTGTGTGTGTGTGTGTGTGTGTGTGTGTGTGTGTGTGTGTGTGTGTGTGTGTGTGTGTGTGTGTGTGTGCGCGCGCGCGCGCGAGCGTTTGTGTGGGCTGTGTGTGTGTGTGTGTGCGTGTGTGTGGGTTGTGTGTTGTCATGTTCGCTCTGTAGAACTCCACCCAAAAAAGCTGACTGTGCAAGACTGTTTCTGGGTCTTTCGCCGACTCATCAGGAGTTTGTGAGTTGGGGGTGGGGGGATGGGGTGGGGGTGGGGGAGTATGCGTGAGCGCGGAGTTTCATTTTCAAGCAGGCTGGTGTTCGTGTTGTTTGGCCCTCCATGTGTGGGCCTGCTGTGTGCCTTTCTCGCCGTCCCTCCTGCTTTTTAGTCTATTTGTACATCTGCCTTTCTGTTGGCTTGTTTGTCCCCTTGTCCGTTTTTTTTTCTTTTTTCTTTTTCTGTTCATATTTGCTTGTTCATCCTCACCTTATCCACATCTTGTCCACATGTTTATCCATCCCGTGTTTGTCCACAGACTCCACACATGTTTATCCACATAATGCTGATGCTCTACAATTGCGTTCCAGCGTGTGTGCATTCCGAAATGTTCGATCAGCCCAAATGTATCAGGTCCACTTGTCAGTCCAGATACCTGTCCAAGGTTGAGTAGTGGAGCCAGGCCCCAATGCTTAGCCATTGCATGTTCACCCTCATGTCGGCAACCTGCTAGGTGATGAATCTGTTGATTCTGTTCTTTACCTGTCTGACATGTCGACGACCTGTTCTCGGGTCTGGTTTGTGCTGCGTAGCTGTTGGTGTGGTCCCGCGAGCGGGAGCTGGCTGGGTTGAAAGCATCTGTGAGTATCTTTGCATCAGAAGTACAGAGGCTAACCTGCATGCGTGAGGAGCGGAAGGAAGCAGAGGAGATTCTCCACCAGAGATGGCGAAAAATAATGGAGTTTGAGGCAAGGAGGGGTGCATTGACAGGGATCTATATGGAGCTCATGAGGGCCAGCATGGTGGGTAATTCCTTTTTCTTTTTCATTTCTTGGTGCGTAAACTTTTCCCTTGCGGTATATCAGACTTCCCTGCAAATTGTACGTGTGGCACTTCAACGTTCGTATGATGTTAAAAAGGAAAAAGAAGAAAAAAAAAAAGGTTTGTATGATGTAAATTTGACCTTGAGAGTTTGTGTCATGGAGATCAGATATCTCAGTTTTAGGAAAATAAAATTTGAATAACTCGTCGGTGACGTGGTTTGTTGTGTAATAGGATATGCATTTAGACAGCCTGTGGTGTTAAAGCACCAGTACATGGCCCCAGCCAAGTTGAGAGTCCGATTGAGCCTCTGGTAAATTTGAGGAGCCCCAGCCAAGTTGAGAGTCCGATAAAATAATCGACAGCGGGTGGCCTCCAAAAGGGGGGCCCGCGGCCGATGGCTGGCATGCACACTGAGTGGTTTAAAAAGTACTCTCTTGCATCTTTCAAATTTGTGTTCTGCTTTTTTCCGTCGAATTGTCCGGTGACATTCACAGTGCCATTGCAATAACCTCGACGTATGGTTCAGGTTTTGTCACTGATCGGGACGTTTCTTCTTGCTGCATTTCTGCCCCCCCCTCCATATTACCTCTATGATTGTCGGCTTCGGCAATCTATTCCTGATATGCGACTCTCAAACGAATCGCTTTCACAATGACTCAACCGGTTTTTTAACTATCAAAAATATCCGATAAAACTGCGTGTTTCAATCAGTAGAAAAATCAAAGTTTTGACAACAAAAGGCTACCGTCTTCACCGCAATAGGACGCCCGGCCATTATAGCTGCATTTGGGCCAATTTTCAGTCTAAATACAGTGATAATGACCGAGCGCTCTATTCGGGTGAAGCCATCTCGATACTCGTCTCCTTCGTAGCTTATAATGCCCATTCCTTACCCAGAGGCTTCTTGCTTCATCTCTGCTTTGGGATAGCTTAGCTGTCTTTGCTATCCTCCTCGACCTATTCCGACTCATGATTGCCGATTGCTGACTGCCTCTACCATGTGTGCCATTGTGTGGCTATTATGCTAGAGACAATAGGGAATGATTCCCATGTCCCTATTGCCACCAGCTATTATGGTGGTCCTCCACAGACTGAGGCATCTTGCAGGATCTCTCCTTCATTTGACTCTTATCTGGAGACTCCTCCTTGGAGTCCTCACATCTCTCCGTCAAGGACCGTCAGTATGGTAGTAATGATTTCTGGAAGGGTGGCAGTCTTTTCTTTTTTTTGGGGGGGGGAGGGACTGTCTCTTATACACATCTAGATGTGTATAAGAGACAGGCATAAAAGAAACTGTGGTCTCTAGTGTGCTTCAAGCAGTGGCATTTTTGACGTCTTCTGGCGTCAGGCCTGATTTGTGGAGTGTTTATTGTATCGCTTCAGAGAGCTTTTCTTCTGGGTAAGATGCCTTTGAATGGAGTTTTTTGCAGTCTTTTGGGCGTAGTTAGGGCTATAGCTGGTCGAGCTTGTGGTGCTCTACAACCTTCCATCCATGCACGCTGTTTCTTTTGTTGGTACCACACACCCAGCGGTGCTTATACACTAGCATGGCAGGACGGTCACGCCTTTGCGTTGGGGGGGTGCCATTTTTTAAGAAGGGGGTGGGCGGGAAAAGAATCAACCTTCCGACAGCAATAGAATTGCAAGTGTGCCTTTCAGGCAGACAGGTGTGTGGGCACCAGGTGGCTTAACTGCCCAAATGCGGCCAGCCTTGCACTCCTCTTAATCTGTGTGGATCTTGGACCTGGTGTTTATACCAGGTGATTTTACAAAACACACCCCCACGTGACAACCGTGATCCATCTTTCTATTGCATTCATCCTGCCCAGCCACTTATGAGCTGCCAGATTTGTCGTCACAGCCTTGTCATGCCCTTTGCTTAAGTGACTGCGAGCTCCCAGATTGGGCGCAAGTCTTCTGCTTCCCTTTTTCGCATGCCGATAGCCCCTGCTGCTATCTGTTGCCAGTGGTCCAGTGTTTCCAGGAAGCTGCTATAAACACTGTGTGCCCTTAACTCCATGAACTACCCCGGATGTCACCGTTGTGGTCACCCTCTTTTGTGCTCATGTCCCACAGGCCATGCTGGAGTTGCTCTGGTTGGATCGGCGGTGATGGGACTTCCTCCACCCTCACAAGACAATTAACTGCTGCAGTCCTTCGGGACATCCGTGAAAATTGGAACGATACAGAGAAGGGTAATTAGCATAGCCCCTGCGCAAGGATTGCACACATAAGTCGAGAGATGGTCCAAAAAAAAAAAAAAAAAAAAAAACCCNGGGGAGAAGGGGGGAATGGGGGCGGGTGTGGCAGATTCTTGGTTACATTCAAGGGAGAATCAGGCCGATGGAGACTGAGAAGACGGAATTGCAAGTGTTTTTACACCCTGCCCTACCGTCTTCACCCGAATAGAACGTCGGGTCATTATAGGTGCATTTGATGCAACTTTCAGTCCAGATACGGCAATAATTACCGGGTGTTCTATTCGGGTGAAGACGGTAGTACCGTTTCGATGTTTCCACACTCTCGGCATTTCTGTAGATATGGAATCATGTCCTGTGGCGGGTTTTCATTCCTGATCCAGCACAGGATCACAAGAGTGTTTTTACATCCTGCCCTAGTACAGGATTGCAGTCATGCCCTGTGACAGGATTGCAAGTGTTTTTCACACTCTGCTGTGGTGGTATCGTTTTGGTGATTCCACAGTCTTTTTTCAAGTTTTTTGACCCCCCCTGATATTTACCAGGAGCCCTTCCATTCGTCAGTTGATCGGTCGGGTTGATGGTCTGACGCCCACTCGTTTTTTTTGTCACGGTCTGCGGGGGCTGGCAGGATGTCTAGGAAGTAGTGGTGGTCTATGAGCCCTGGTTGGGACCCCTGCACACCTTGTAGGTTAAGGGGCTCATCACGCCTGGTTAATTTATGTAGAAGGTTTAACTTTTGAAGTTAGATGCGAGTATGTTTTGGAGGAAAGGAAAGCAAAGCAAAGGAAAAAGGAGCAGGAGATCTCGCTTATTATTTTCTTTAAACCGCCAGTACCTTTTTCCAGGCAAAGAAAAAAACAGTGCGCCGGTTAACACGGAGGCCGCAAACGGCCTTGCGCCCCGGTCAGATACATCAGGATTCCTTGCGCGCGCAGGGCCCACTGCCCATACATGGGAAAGGTACTGGCGGTTTGAACCGCCAGTTCACACAAGCCGAAGTTGACGAAGCTGCTTTCCAAGCCTTGGGATCCTGCAACTGTGCCTTTTCAAAGTGGCCTGCCGCTTTTGCTACCCCTCCCTCCCCCCCTCCCCACCCCCGGGGGCCTGAAGTCAAGTGCTCTTATGGCATATACCGGTACGAGAACTACTTGGGTTCATGTGAATCAGTGGTTTAAGAGTTCAAAAACAAGACAAGAATGTTTGCTAGGAGTTGTGACGACCTCTTTGTCGGTTTGTTTACCCTAGAACGAAGTTTCCCGGATCACTCCCAATCCCAACATCTGACCAATTGGTGTCACAAGGGTATTGGGGGAGACATCATGCCTAGTATTGCCTACCTACCTTCTTCCCCTGACTACAACATACCCTCATCACCGATGTATGTTGCAGGAAAAGTAGCTTGTATACATTCATAATGACGGTACATTGAATTCAGCTGAAGATGGTAACACATAGCGAGTGACCCCCTTGACCATCCCAAGTCTATCCATTAAACCACCAGTTCACGCGGGCCTGGAGGCGCTGCACTGCGTGCAGAGCTTTTCGGAGCTGCGAGTGGCTCACTTTGTTTCTTTTTTGGCTGGTGCCGCCAGCCATTGTGGTCTGTGGTCTGGTAGCCCTGGTAGCCCTAAGCCCCGAAAAGTTCGGAGTAGGCAATGAACAAATTTCAACAAGACTGGGGCCGTGTGCTGGCGGTTTAAGCCCACCAGTACACGGGCACCTGAGGCTGCGGGCCGGACACCGCAAGTTTCGGCGGCCTGAAAGGCGACGCCGGCCGTTGATGGGTTTTATCTACGGCGCGTGCTGGCCCGGATTGTTGCGGTGCTACAGCGCGCCGGGAACAAAATGTTTTCTGTGAGGCTGCGGCCTGTTACTGGGGGTTTAAACCATAAGAACCCTACCTTCTCCCCCCGAAGACAACGTACGGTTAGACTTAAAGATACCCCATGTACAGCTATTGTAATGACCGTACGATGTACGTTGTATGCGGGGGAAGAAGGTAGTCACCCCTGCTGCACCTGCAGCTGCTATACAATTCTCCCTACTGAGACACCACCTTCTCACAGTGCTGCTGCACCCAAATAGAACGCCCGGTCATTATTGCTGCATCTGGACCGACAGTTGGGCCAAATGCAGCTATAATGACCGGGGACGGTAGGGTGTCTGGGTCTTCTTGATAACCCAGAGTCCCACTCCATGAAACAGCCATTTTTTGGTTAAAACATAAAAGTTGAAACTGGCATTTAATTTGATTTGATTTTTGATGAAATGGGTCCAAAAACAACGCAATATTTTTTTAGCATTTTTTGCATCAGTGCGAAATCGGACCATTGATGGTTGGACGCCGTACCATGTGATGTTCCTGGACATAAAGTACCGTCTGAATACATCCAAGGGTCCAAGAAAAAAGAAAACGTTTCCGGGTACATCAGATAGCCCTGGCGTCCCTAGGATGCCGCACCATCAATGGTCCCACGTCGTGGGGACGAAAAAATGGTCGAAAACGTTTTCTTTTATTTTTTTGGTTGGGGGGGGAGCCCAATATCGTGAATTTTTTTTAAAAATGCCAGTTTTAACTAAATGGCTCTTCTAAGACATCGTCTGGCGTCCCTCCCGCGACGCTGTGCTAGCAATGGTCCGACGTTGAAGGGATGCAAAAATGGTTAAAAACGTTTTTCTTTTTTTCGTTTCTGGAAGCTCAATTTCGTGAAGATTTTTGAAAATGCGAGTTTTAACTATTAACTAAATGGCTCTTGTAAGACATCTGGGCCTTGATAACACAGAATTCCAACCTTCTCTATAACGCCCGAAGGTTGGCCCGCATGACCTGCCGACAACTCTGAGTGTGTGTCTGTGCAATATGACACGTGCGGGAACAGGTTATAGCAGCTGCAACATTCGTAAATGCCATCATGGAAAGGAAATATAGGGTCTCGCTCCACGACTCACCGAATGCACAAAAGGCAGAAAATATGGCGGTGTATCTTTCCATCTTCCTGGGAAGATTCATTCATTTTTTTTCCACGTGTGGTGAGTATTGGAGCGAGGCCCATAGAGAATGGGTGGCAGGATGGCCTTAAAACGGAAGTCAAAAGAGGCAGTGTTAGGGGAAAAAAAAGACAGTCCGGTAAGCTTTGGCGCAGATCATGACTAGCGATCTGAGCATTAGCATAGGTCATTTCATCATCATGGTGCCACCTAGAGGCGACTCCCCCCAGGTCCTCGCAATCCATCTGACCCCTCCCAATGGATGAGTACTACTACGGGCACCCCCTGAGGCCTGGCCTGTGCCCTCTACTACACGCTGGACCTTTGTATATAAACTTGTAAAGCAAAAAAACAAAACAGAAAAAAAACAAAAAAAAAACAAAGGGTAACTTTGGTAGCCCTCGGAAGCTTTGGAGGGGTAAGGAAAAAACAAAGACGCCTCCCAATGGACGAGTGCTACTACGGGCACCTCCTGAGGCCTGGCCTGCGCCCTCTACTACACCCTGGACCTTTGTATATAAACTTATAAARAAAAAAAAAAAAAAAAAAAAAAGGGTAACTTTGGTAGCCCTCGGTAGCTTTGGAGGGGTAAGGAAAAAACAAAAAAAGGGGGAACTTTTGTAGTCAGCGGAAGCTGATTTTGCAAGATAGGTATGGCAAAGAGTGGAGATCACTTTGTGGAGCTTCGTATATCCGCTGGTGTTTTTTTGGCCGATGACTGATGGGTTGTGTACTCCTGGCTTGGGTGTGTTCCTTGGAGATCGATCTGTGACAAGCACTCTTGATGTGAGGTGGAGATTGGACCTTATTTCTGAGCGTATGTGCGTGTGATGATTATGCCAGGAAGCATCTGCGCAATGGGACCATCGAGCGAGGGAGGCGATCGAGACCTCAGCGAAAACCATTGTGCCACTGGGAATGGTTATGCCCCGAGAAGTCTTTAAGGTTAAGGATCTGATTGTCAAAGAGATGCACTCCTTCCTGTCTGCACCTCATCACCGCCTCCCGGCTATCCCTCAGACACCAAGCAGCCTGATGCTCGCGATGGGAACGACCGTTTCGCCAACGAGAGCTGCACTGGCAGCAGCGGCTGTGGCACTTGGATCTAATACCGCACTTGGAATAGGGTCAATGGGAGCAGGAGGTGGAACAGGAGGAGGAGGAGCCGCATCGGACACGATTGCGAGTGCGGAAAGCCACGCTATGGCATGGATTGCAAGAGCAGGCGGTGGCGATCCGTCCGCGATCCCATTGATAATGAGGAGTATGATCGCCGTGATGCAGTCCGAGGGATCCGATGGGAAAGATGGAAGAAGGCATCACTTTCATCATCGGCATCATGCCGGAATAGGACCTAGCGGGGGCAGCACGGACGTAGGAGTGCCGGTGGGAAGTGGAGGCGGGGGGGGAATGGGAGGCGGAGGGGGTATGGACTGCGACATTGGGTTTCTATCTGTCCTTCAATCTCTGAGGTTTATTTACCGTGCGCCTGTGATGTCGCCGGGTGTTCTGCTGTCGACCGTTGCGAAGTGCGTTTGGGAAGCGGGCGTAGTGAAGGATCTTGTTGGAAGTGGCAGGGAGCTTGTGGCGGCAGCCTCCAAAGCGAAGCCTGAGTATGAGAGGTACGAGTTGATGAAACCCCTCCTCCTTCCTGCTGATAGTACATCTGTCTGTGTTGAATGAAACAGTTGGATTTACTCAGGTTGGCGTGATGTAATCTTTTTTTTTGTAGGGGTAAACAACTTAGCACTCAATCCAGTGGTCACAATTTTTTGCCTCAGAGAAATCTGAAAAAAAGATATATGTTATGTAAATTACTAAAATAAGAATACAAACCACTTTTGCCTTGGAGGTATGTTCAAATTCGTAACCAAACTCGAGTTAGAATTTAAAAATAAACGACCGTAAAAACCAAACTAGAAAAAAGAAAAAGTTTGACCCAACACGTTCGGGAGGCGTTTGGCCAAACAACCGAACATGTTTGTGCATTCGACGGTGTGCTACACATATATATATTACTTAATAACGTAGAGACTATGGTGGACCAAATGCCTCTTTGTCATTTTATATCCAACCTTTTGTATCTGATGTTAAGTGATATATTATATCTGACATTTAGTACGTAGTACGGACTTGACTCATCTTTTATGTCTGACATTCATTGCAAGAGCTGGAACCGTTGAGCAATCATGGTGGGCGTTAGCTGAGGATTGTGCATTTGCACGGGACTGATTCGATGAATACACGGCACAGCAAGGTCATGCCGTATCAGGGATCGAAGCGAAAGTAACTGTGTTGGAGAATGGTTAGATAGTCTCTTTGGAATTCAGTTTACGAACTCCATGTTTATTTCATGACCACATTCGTCGAGGGATGATGAGGTGATGTTGTTCCTGTGAATGCTGTGCTGTGTGTCGTCAACAGAAATGTTATAGCATGCTCTGCAGCTGTGGCAGCTGTGAACAGTGAGGCAGAAAACGAGTGGCTTCCCCGTGTGAAGAGGAGTGTTGCGGAGGCAAGAGAGGCATTGATAGATGCAGACAGAGCACGCAGGCTTGTATGTTCTCTTCCCTTTGGTCCTGCCAGCCACTCTGTGAATACCAGACTTATAAGATGGTGTTTCTGGTACTTGCATACTCATATGTCTGGTATTCTTTTTCTCCTCTGCATGCTGCCCTTTTGGGGAAAAAGAATCAGTAAAAGGCAAAGTGCTAGATTCTTCTAAGAATCTTCTTTAATCAAGTTAGATTCTTCTAAGAATCTTCTTTAATCAAGTTTAATGTATCTGATTGCAAGTACAGTCAGATTCGTTCCAGGCAGTCCTGGTGCGAGTATGGTCTGACTCGTTCAATAATCGCATTTGTGTGCATACAGACTGCAAAAGAACAGGCTTAAAAAAAAAAGGAAAAAAAAAAGGCACAGCTCAGCACCCTGTCTGCACTGTACAAAGATTTGGACACTGGAGTGCATGACCTGCTTGCCCTCTGATTTCACCCCTTGCTCTCTAAATTGCCCTCCTTGCCCTCGTAAACATTCTTGAATCATTTATTAAAAAAAAAAAAAACTCCGTGTATCCGTGGCTGTTGCACATCGTCGCCCCACCCCATGTCTTACTGGGAAGCTCGCCACACGACCCTGCCCATGCTATACGGTTCGTCGACAGAGAACTGGTTGTGTGGTTCGTATGAGATTTGGATCATTTGGTACATTGCTCTCAAGAGTCTCGACTCCAAAACTCCAACCGCAACTCGGTCACGCTGTGGCTTGTGGGAATATGCTGCCACCTTGACTCAACTTCAAGGCTGGCATTTCTGCATAAAAATCGGTTTCTTTTTTCGGGTTTTGTTTGTTTTTAAGGTGCACTCTTTTAGTTGGTACGTACGCGATTCGTCTCTCTCAGTGGTTCCGACGCATGCTGCGATGGTCCCTGCGTCATCCACTTTCTCCAATGCCCTTGCGAAGCTCTCGTCCTGCCCCTGCGTGCTCATCTGCTGCTGCTGCTGCTGCAGTTTTCCCTGCTAGCTACAGTTTTCGGTGCTAGCGACCGCGCGAAGCTGGACCATGTGATTTTGGCAGTGGGCTGCGCGTGCGAGCGACCGCGCAAAGCTGGTCGCTTCCTCTCTCAGAGACCGGAAGGCTACCAAGACATGATCCTCGGGGTCTACGCCCTGTAGATACGTATATGACTTGACGTTGGCTTCCCAATTGTCTCAGGGAAACGGACTTTGACCCTTTCTCGGCGGGGTCGGTCTTCTTGTTCCTTCGGGGCTGCCATTTTGGCGCCCTCTATTGCGCCCGTACAAAATTTTTTGGTCCTCCCAATCGCGTTTCGTAATCTGTTGACGATATAAGTCATCATATCCTGGGAAAAATCCTGGAATCCGACTCATACGTACTCGAGCGCTATATCGTGCCCACGGATATGTTTCAGCTGTTCCTGCTGTGCGGTCAGGATGGACTCTACGCTACGGGACAGGGTGTCAATCTTTTTCCCTAACTCAGTCTCTTCCCTTATCTTCCCCAGTCGTGTCCTTGCCGCCTTCAATTCTTTCTCTATTCGATCTGCCACCTCTAGGCGCCTTGTCCTCTCTTGCGCAAGGCGCAGTTTCCACTCCAGTTGTTTCTCCTGTTCCCGCGCCCGTCGATGCAAGGGGTCCCTTTCTTCTTCCGACTCTACTCTCACCGCCTCCCTTTCGGCCTGGGGAATCATTAACTTGGGTTCTTTGTCTTCTCCCATGGATAAATTAGCCACCCATTCTCTTGCTTCCTTCTCCACCTCTTCTGGTGGGGCCATAGAGGAACTTGCTTCCCCCCTTCTTCGCAACAACCCCTCTTCTTCTTCTTCTTCTTCTTCTTCTTCTTCTTCTTCTTCTTCTTCTTCTTCTTCTTCGTCTGCTTCCGCCTCCTCTTCTTGGCTGTTTTTTCTTCCGGCCTGGGGAATCATTAACTCAGCTTCTTTGTCTTCTCCCATGGATAAATTAGCCACCCATTCTCTTACTGCCTTCTCCACCTCTTCTGGTGGGGCCATACTGGAACTTGCTTCCCCCTTCTTCGCAACAACCCTTCGTCTTCTTCTTCTTCTTCTTCTTCTTCTTCTTCTTCTTCTTCTTCTTCTTCTTCTTCTTCTTCTTCTTCTTCTTCTTTCTTCTTCTTCCAGTTCTGCATCTCTTCCTCCATCTGCTTCGTCTTCCAGCAGGACCAATTTCTTTGCCTGCCGGATCAGCTCCTTCTTCTCCATCTTCTCCCTCTTTTCGCGGGGAATTGCGGCAGCTCTCTCTTCCTGTGCCTTGCTATACAGGGTTGTGCTAGTTCCGGTCCTGGTGGTCACCATGTTGATAGGGGCACAATCACTGCGATTCCACTCCTCAACACGTAGACCTGACCTCTAGACTCTGACTTCTACAGGACTACAGAGATCTCTCCTCCACTTCAGCCAGGTGTTACCACAGCCTTCGGATGCTTTCGCAACCACAATCACCAATCTTTCCACAGCCGTCGGATGCTTCCGCAACCACAGTCACCAATCTTTCCACAGCCGTCGGATGCTTTGGCAACCACAGTCACCAATCTTTCCACAGCCGTCGGATGCGGTCACAACCACCGTCACCGATCCCACCTGGCTTCGGCTTCAGATTGACCCTCTGTCAACTACACGGTTCTAGCCTAAACTACTGCTATTCTGTTACTACAGGACTATTGGCTGATCAGGAGGCATTTTAAGGAGGTCTCCCACAACTCCTCAGGAATTCGTTAACGTCGCAGTCAGGACGACGATCACAGCCAAAGTCCTCTAAAGACTTAGACAGACTGGACACCCGCTCTGGAGCTCGGAGTTCGGGTATAGTGTACCACCCAGAGCAACCTGCCGGTCTGTACCGGTCCTTGCGGTGTTTTCCCAGGTCGTCTAGCGTCAGATACACCTCACCCCTACTAAGTCCCGTGCAGACACTGGGTCACAGCCTCTATCAGACCACATGCATGGAACCTATCGACCTCGACAGGAGTGACTTGATGCAGAAAGAGATGACAGACTCTTCAGCAAGTACCAAGGTGAGTGTGCAACATCCACAGGTCATCGGGGACAAGGGCTAGGGCTTGAAGGGATTATACCGCTCCT